GACTTTTTTTTTAACAGCTCTCGTTTATTTTTATTTTTTTTCCCATGAGTCGGATCCACTACGCGACCTGTCAGTCAATCCAGTAGGCGTGTCAGCAAATGACCAATCCGAAGCTAAATGCTCTGTACCTGCAGAGGCCTGCGCTGCAGCCCATCAGAGCGTACCACCTTACTGTAAGCAGGTTCACAGTCCTGATACTGATAATAATCTGATGCTGATGTGTTAACAGATTAAGTATCTCCGTATTTGTAAAACCAATACCAAAGTATAACTTAACAAGATGCTCAACATTCTTCATTAAAATGCAATAAACCCTGCTTTATCATGTTGGAGTTCGCAAGGGCGCCAGAAGCATCCGTAATGTGGGGGGGACACGATGTGTGTAGGTGTGGGTGCATGTGCACGCGTGGTAAAAAAAAAGTATAGGCTACACTAGTGTACAAAAAAGCAACATTTCACCTAGATTTCCTTCAATTCTATACATTTTAAACATGTTTCTCACCAAGTTTGTGAAAATTCAGCTGGTTTAAAGACATTTTTACTTGAATACACTTTAACACAGAACGTCAGGTCGGCACTATTTGTGTTTATAGAGAAATAAAAAACGTCACCACTAGACATTTTTACTTGTGTTCAACACTACTCATCTAAATGATGTTTCTCATGAAGCTTGAGGACAATAAGGTGTGGGGGTTTAAAGACATTTCAACTTTAATGCACCTGAACACAGCGTCTCTTACACCTGCAGCATCTTACAGTGTCACACTTACTGCTAAGCTAACATGCTACAGACGTAGCAATCCACTTCTCTCCTCCTAACCATGAAAATATATTTATGATCAACCCCCCCAGTCAACAACTGCCCACACTAAGCTCGCTAAACTGGCGAGCGAGCAACACAGAGGTGTTTCCATCTCCTCCACCTGTGAGCGATCTCTGCCCGAGGCAGGAGGAGACGTAGAGGAGAAACGGTGAGTTGGAGGTAACCAGGAAAACCTGGAGTGGAGTTTTAGTGGCTTGAATATTCTCCTATTGATCAAGTGGAATGGATTTGTTCATGAAGAAAGAGAAACTGTGCCGCCTGAACTAATGTTTCATAGTAAATGTGGGGGGGACATGGCCCCTTCACATATAATGGTTGTGATGCCTATGGGAGTTTGGATAATATTATGACTCATTTAGCTTCAGATTGGTCGTTTGCTGACATGCCTACTGGATTGATTGACAGGTTGCGTCATGGATCCGACTCATGGGGAAAAAAGAAAAATAAACACGAGAGCTGCAAAAAGACTCGTATGACTTTATTTTCATAATATTAAGACATTATTCGACTTTATTCTCGTAATTTTATGGGTTTTATTTTTTCCTTAGCATAGGCAATGTAAAAAAAATTCTTAGCATGGCCCCTAAAGCTCCGTCGTAGAAAGGAGACTTTTAGATGAGTCATAAAACTGGGCTAAAAATTGCAGTTGATAAAATAATCAAGAGGGAAATTAAACATTTTTAAATGAATATAACATGGTATTATCTACATACGAGTTGATAAACTTCATCAAACCGTCTATGAATCTGTTGTGGTGACTGACAGCTGGACAGCTTTTCAGAACTTGGATCAACCTTTTGAGCCGTCCATGATCCAAAAGGCTGATCGACCCGCTTTTAAAAGGACACTTACTCAAATTACACATTTGTTGCTGAGAACAAATTAAAATGAACTTTCCAAACACAAGAAAACAACAAACAGATACCCAACAAATCAAATAAATCTAACCCTTTTTAATGAAAAATATAATCTTAGTATTTATGAGGCTTTTAATGTTTTAGATCTACAACAATTTAAAACTCTTTTTTCACCAAAATTAGTAAACTTTTGTCCTTTCTCCAAAATTTTGTTCACTTTAAGAGTTAAATTCACATTTTTGTGGCCCACGAGTCCTGTCATCTTGAAAGTTTTGGACCACATATGAAAAAGTTTGGACACCCCTGGGCCAAGCCAACAGAACTTATAAGCATTAATATGTCTATAACTCAGTCATTTATACAGATAATGTGCTAAAAATTGGCGTGGCACGAACTGAGATTTAATCTTAACGCATAAAGTGTTACCTGTATGACATCTTTGCTTAAAATTTTAACAATAAAGTTGGGAGTGAGCCATGTTTTCCTATTGGCAAAAAATAGCTCATGAACCACCACACAAGTCTCAATGAAACTTTTTAGAACATAATCAATGGGTTGACCTTTACAAGTAATGAACTTTTGGAGTCGATCAATTCAAGAGTGCTGCCACAAATAACCAACCTAAAAAAAAGCTATAACTCTGTCAATGTTACAGCTATTTAGTGAAAATTGAACGTGGTAGTAGCAACAAGTCATACACAACATATAATCCAAGCATGACCTTTTGTATTATTGTGTGAGGTTACGCATAAAGTTATTTTCAAGGTTTGACCAAAACACCTACAACTCCTCCATTTCCTTGTCTACTTCTGTCATACTCAACACATTGTCTGAACTCTATGTAATAAGATTTTGCACAGTGATTTACGAGGTTTAACCCAAAGAACTATAGCTCAGTTCCTTATCATCATAAGACGATTTGAGTTTAAAACCAGGCGTGAAAGGCATCAGGCGATTTGCATTTCATCGACAAATGCTAGGCCTTCAATTTTTAACAACATTTGACCAAAAGGAGCATGAAGGAAACGTCTCACTAACACAGTAATAAAGGAAAGAGGGCCAACAATAGAAGCAACAATCAATTTTAGTGACTCGTTTATCTTAGTAAAATATCAACCTTTAAATGCCACCACCTGTGTTACAACCAACAAGTCAGGCTTCTCCACGTCTTCAGTCTTTAAGGCTCTCAGCGCCTGGTCACATTATCCTGCAGGTTTCATATGAGCATTTCAAATTTCAAAAGGTTTAATCTGTGTTAAATAGTCATTTAGTGATGAATGGGTTGCTTCATTTTCTGCGCAACTGCATGCCAGAACTGAATATTAAAGCTTTTTTTTTAATAATCAGTTGTGTTGCATCACTGAAACAGGAAGCACTTGAGCCAAAGATGAGCCAATTCCCAAAAGGCAAGTCAAAAATTGAAACAGTCTCTTCAGTATGTTATGTTAGTGGATAATTGGTGCTTTTAAGATGATTAGTGAAGGAAATGGACAAGTGGGAAATTTATTGGGTGAAAACCTGTTATCATGAGTTTGTTATTCAGTGTTAGAGCTTTGGTGTGTTCCAAAAAAAAAAAAAACAGGTCGCATAAACTTAAAGAAACTGGTCCAGATGACACGGTTTAACCTTTTTTGTTGTTATCTACCTGGATGATTGAGTCTATAAACCATTTTCTGAACCACTTTGGCCTTGGTTGTCCTCCGGCTGTTTCTGTGAGAAGTAAGTTGGCCGTCGGGCCTAAACAGTTGTATATGATGATTGATTGTTTTGGATGGGTGTGTTTTGCACATAAAGGCCTGCTTTTGAAATTCCAACAAGATGGTTGGCTTGAAACACAGCAGTGAAGGCTGCCTATGACAGATCTGGTTGGCAGGCATTAGACTGACAAAGTCCTCTGGATGGAAGATGAAACGTTTCTCAATTAAAGAAACTGGTCCAGATGACATGATTTAACCTTTTTTGTTGTTGTCTACCTGGATGATTGAGCTTATAACCCTTTTTTTTGGTTTGTTAACTTTAATACATCCATTTATTTTCCACACCGAACAGTTCACCAGGAGTTTACAACCATTTTGATTCAAGCCCTCTGAACTGTGAGACATTTTTTGAGCATTCAGCAGCAACAAGAGATTAAAAGGACCGTCTGTACAAAAACTGGTCAACTATTTCTTCAAATTCTCTAAAAGAGTTTTTAGAAAGGCTTGACTGTTTTGTTGGCATTTTGGTTTGTCGATGGAGGTCAAGATGATTTCTGGAAAGCCATGAATGAAAACTTTTGTAGATTACTGCTTGAAAAGCATATCAAAGTCTCATCGTGAAGACAGAAACCTTCATGAAGACTATGCAGACTCTGTAGAGGTTTCACGCAGTTCTGCAGGAATACTTCATTTAAAAAAACATCAAACGAAACAGTCGTTTTACTTTTAGGAAACTACGCCAGTAGGAATAGATTAAAAAAATGAGTTTTTAAACAAAACTAAGTCTGGAATATAAAAAATCAAAACTTAACAAGATTATGGGATTTCCTGTTTGTAGCAGCTGCTGTATGCGTTGGGTTTACCGTGGAACATTCACTGACAGAGGGAGGAAAACGGATTTAGTCCAATATTTACTAAATCTGGGTGCAAAATCACTTATAAAGTAAAAACTTTAGATAAAAAGAAGATGGCTTCTACAAAATGATGCTCATCAAGTGGCAGTGATGTTCATTTGATTGTGCATTAGCCCAACTTTAGCTTTAGATTTGTTTCCTCACGATAAAGTAGTCGAGCATAAACTTTGACTGTGTTCGCTCCATTGTTTTTATCACTTCACGGCAGCAGACTTTCGAGTTCACTGCCACATAAGGATCAGTTACATTGCTCAGCCATTGACTGAAGCCATTTTTACTAAGGTCAAATCCATTGTCTGGGACAACGGCTCAGTGACCGTTTAGCCGCAGAGGCTCTTGCCACAAATCACGTAGCAAAAATGCCCTTTCACAAACCCCATCGGTGCTCAAATGGATGCTGTGCGTGCTGTTCCCTTTCATCAAAGCCTTCACGCTCTCATCTCTTTTTTTCAATAAAAGAAACCACACGCTGAAACAATATACAAGGTAAAATCAACACTGCGTGAGCGATCACAAAGCGTTTCATTACTTCTCCATGACTGCCAGGCTGGCTTTTTTTTTTTTTCAAACAAACAAGTACCCCAAGATCCAAAGCATGCTTTTAAAAAAAGTATGTCAGTGACATTCTTTTTTCATGTTTGCGATGTTCATTTGGATCGATTTGAGCTGCCTGGGGATGTGTCTATCACCTGGGCTCGTGTGTTTTTACCTTCCATGACGTAGACCAGTGAGCCCACATCGCCTTCCTTTATGATGCAGCTGTCCTTTCCGTACTCCACAGGGTACATGCAGTCCACAATCTCTTGGATCTGTGACAACTCCAAGTTCTTCATGAAGTCGTTGTCTAAGATAGCTTCTTTGATCAAATCCTTGGACCTGGAGGCAAACAAAACGAGTTCAAGAATCGTGCAATGCATGCCTTATCAACAGCGTCATGTGAACAAGATTAAAACAAAAACCTTGTCTGGAATTAAGATATTCTGATGGACACTGACCTGTTCAGTATGTTGCTTTTTTAATAAAACAATTAAAATCTAATTAATTAAAAAATAATGAATTAATTAAAAAGAATTCACACCTGTCTAAAGCTTTTGACACTGGATCATAACATCTTGTGTCATAAACTCTCAGAAATTGGTTTCTCAGAACACACCATTGGTTGGTTCTCTAACTATCTTTCAGACCAGAGGCAATGTGTTCAACATAACGGTACTTCCTCCAGTTATTTAACAGTCAACAATGGTGTACCACAAGGCTCAGCCTTAGGACACACCCTCTTTACAATCTACATAGATAATGTAGATCAGAGCATTTCTATGCTGATGATACAGTTGTTTATTGTTTAGCTAAAACGATTGATAAGGCTTTCCAGATTTTGCGATCCACTTTTGACATCATCCAGTCAGATTTGTTCCGTCTCAAACTTGTCTTAAATGCCGACAAAAACAAAGAGATGTTTTTTTTTCAAACAGGAAGTCGGTCCCAGCAGTTATTCTTCTGATCTTATCCTCGAATGGTGTTCCTATTGAGTTTGTCGATTCCTACAAATATTTGGGTATCTTGCTTGATTCGCATCTCTCTTTTAAGCTCCACGTGGAAAACCTAGTAAGGAAACTGAAAGTGAAACTGGGTTTCTTTTTCAGACACAAATCCTGTTTAACTCTGATTGCTAGGAAACACCTTGTATCTGTGACTTTCCTTCCCTCCACTGACTTCGGTGACATTATTTACATGAACGCTCCTACAAGCACTATGCAGATGTTGGATGCTGTCTATCATGGTGCACTAAGATTCTTAACTGGCTGTGACTACCGTACCCACCATTGCACCCTGTATTCACTGGTTAACTGGTCATCATTAACTTCACACAGACTCTCTCACTGGTACATTTTCATCTTTAAATCACTTCTTGGTCTGCTGCCTTCATACATCTCCTCCTACATGTCTCTGCATGAGTGCAGCTACAGCGTGCGCTCTCAGGACATTATTACCTGCAGTGTTCCCTCAGTGAGAACTGAACTAGGCAAAAAAGCCTTCTCCTACTCCGCTCTTGTTTCCTGGAATATCTTACAAAAAGATCTGAAGCTCTCGACCTTGACTTCTCTAAGTGGCTTCAAACATCTGTTAAGTTCATGTGAAAAACCAATGCAGACATGTTCCTGTTTTTAGTATTCTACATCTCATTACAACCTAATTGTTTTTTGTTGTTGTTGTTCCATATTTTAATGCCATTTGCTTTCACTTGTTCTTCTCAATTTGTATGCTTCCTTTTGATTGTCTACTGCTGTCTTTGTTGTCCACTGTTGTCACCACTCTGTTGGAATCAGGTCTCTCTTGTAAATGAGTCCCCGAGGATGTATAAATAAAGGTTGAATAAATAAATGAAAAAAATCAAACTCAAACAGCACTGAAGCCTTTAGAAAGATATCCCCTAACACCAAGACATCAGGGTAAACTGTTGTTTTTATTGTAGCAACAAGTGGATAAAAGGCCTAAAGGAGGCAGACTGTGGTCTTTCAGGGAGCACTTCTAAAAGCCAAATTGGCCTTCAAACTGCGCAGTCATCAGGGCATTCCCTGAGTAGCTTTCACCAAATCAATATGCAAGAGAAGAAGAAAAATAACTTTAAAGCCAACATGCAGTTCTACATGAGAGCACTGTCAGGAGTACCAAAATAAAAGCAGGGTGAACGCACGTCAAGAAGACATCATCAAAGAGCAGAATTATCCTTGAAATCAGAGAGCGCTCATCAGATGCAGCAGGATGTTTGCACGTAAAGAAAATCCACGGTAAGTAGGTGAAAGCAGGCCAGGTGCGGTGAAATGTGAAACCTCAAAGGAAGCGTTATTCTGATCCGCTCACATAGAAGTGAGAAGAGATGATGGGTGATGGGGGTGAGATGGGATCACTCATTCATAATTTGTATGTCTTCACCAGCGTCTGAACTGCTCAGCTGAGCGGCGGCTGCTTTTGCACAAAGTGTAGATGACATGAATGAAGTTAATAACATGTGTCAGTGTCAATCCAGAGGGGAGGCCACGCCCACAAGAATATGAAGCTTTAACTACCCACAGCTCAGAGAAAAGGGTGGAAATCCACTTCCTGTTTGCCCTTTTTTCACTGCCCTGTTGACTCCGATCATATGGATAGCTTCAAGCTGAAAGGGCAAACAGGCTGGAGGACATTTATGAAGCTGTGCTCTCCCAATGCCTGCCGGCAGCAGAATACACAGAGCGACAATATCAGCAGTGTCCAGTTTTATTAGAACTTCTGGATGGAGCTCAGACTCTGTGTTTATGCCCTTTTTAGGTCATCTGGATGGTTTCTTTCTTTTTTTTGTTGAGCTATTTTGTCCTTCATCCAAAGGACTACATCAGTCCGAGGAGCCACAAACCAACTCAGTCCCACAAGCAGTACACTCACATAGTGAACCAACCAGTTTGCTGGTGATAAGATGGTTTCTTGGGCCCGCCCGCTCCCCCGTCGACTCTTCCGAGGCTTTCAATGAAGGATGAAATGTCTCAACAACAACAAAAGAAACCATCCAGATGACCTGACTGAACATTGTTGGATTTTTATTTTTTTTACCTGGATTATTGAGCATGAACTTTGATGTTTTGAACCACTTTGGCTATGGCTGCCTCAGAGGAGTCAACGGGGGAGAGAGCGGGCTCCACAAACCATCTTATCACCAACAAACTTGTTGGTCCACTATGGGAGTGTGCTGCTTGCGAGACTGAGTTTGTTGTGGCTCCTCAGACTGACTAAGTCCTTTGGATGAAGGACGAAACATCTAAAAAAAAAAAAAGAAACCATCCAAATGAACTGATGTAACTTTTTAGATTTTTTACCTGAATTATTGAGCATGAACTTTGATGTTATGCAGGTCGATTAGTTAATCAGAAATGCACTGAAAAGAATAAGTAGCATTCTTTTGTAAAATAAATAAATAAATAAAATAAAACATCAATTATATTTGTCTAAATCCTGGGATGGACTTGCAACCTGTCCAGGGTGTACCCCCGCCCCTCGCACAGTGATTGCTTGACATGGGCACCAGCGACCCCCATGACCGAAAATGGAATAAACGGGTAAAGATAATGGATGGATGGATGGATGGATGGATGGATGGATGGATGGATGGCTGGTTGGATGGATGGTTGGATGGCTGGTTGGATGGATGGATGGATGGATGGTTGGAT